TTATTTTTCCTTCAATTAAATTATTTATATATTTGATTAACATTGTCACTGTTAGGAAGTCAAATTTTCAGTGAAAACCACAAATAAACTCACAGCCATTGAACTTCAGGCCAGCTTCACTTAGAAATCAGTCTGTCTGTTCAATATCAATTGTCTGTTCATTGTATGTTACTCTCAGTGACCTTGGATTTTAATAAGAAAAATGAGTGCACTTTTGACCTACATGTAGAATGGTACATACAGCAAAGTGTGGCTGAACCTCCCCCCTCTTTCTTGGAGACTTTTTTCGCCTAGTAACCTGGTTTTTATTCCTTTCTAGATTCTTTTCTTTAGCATGAAAACCTACCTCCATCTACTTGTACTTTTTCATGTTTGAGAAATATCCTGACACGGGATAGGAGAAGAAGGAAGCCCTGGAATCATTGTATCTGGGGGCAAGACAATGATGGGCCTATAAGTCAGATTGAGACTACTGCCTGGTTTTTGGTCTTTTGTGTGTGTGTGTGTGTGTGTGTGTGTGTGTGTGTGTGTGTGTGTATGTGTGTGTAGCCCTTGAGCTGAGCCCATCAGCTAAGGATCATTTTTATGCCTTTAAATAACTGAAAATAAAATGTTAAGAAATATCTTTTGGCCTGTGAGAATTTCTGACATGCATAAGTAAATAGCACATTTTCTCATTGACACTGAGTCTATAGCGGGGGACAGAGATGCTTTGACAGCAGAGCCTGGTTTTATAAGTAAAAGCTTGCTAACCATGTGTGTGTCTGTGTGTGTCTGTGTGTCTGTGTGTGTGTATATGTGTGTAAGTGTGTGTGTGTATGTGTGTAATATGTTTGTCACTATGATTTTGCAAGTGAGATAACTAAGGCCCAAGATGGCATATGGGTCTGCCCAAGTTCCAAGGTCCTCAATGCCTTTTTATCCTGAGTGCCTAACCTATAGGCACAGAGACCAGACAGTTACTTTTAAAGGCAAGTAACTATTTAAAACTTTCAACCACATGAGGCTTATGATTTCTTAGAATCTTAATTTATAAGGAATTCCTAGATTTTAAAAACAATCTCTTACATGTTAAACACACTTGGATGTCTTACGTAGTCAGATAGGTACTTCTCTCTTAATGGTAGCTGACTACCGCATCTGCAGGGAGGCACTATTCATTTCCTCTTTAGATTACTGAAGTTGCTTTACCAAAAGATAATTTTGCATGCACACATGTGCTCGCACGGATGTGAGTGTGTAATCTCTTTGAATTTAAGAGCAGTTTCAGGAAAATTATAAAACATACTAAGACTGCAGTCTACTCTATAATCTAGTCTTGCAGAATATGGAGTTTTAGTTATTCAGCACCAGTCTTTCTTGCTCTTCCTCAGGTAGAGATGACAACACTGGGGCTGCCTGCTGCTCAGTTTGCCATGCCCCTCTGATGAAACATGAATGTAGTTGATGTTTCCTGCTACTCTACTCCTGTGCTTGCTGTTGGTTCTCCCTGCTTAGAAGCCACACTGTTATATACAGATTTTTCCCAGCAACTTTCAATACCTGGAGTGTTCAATTCAGACACAGTCCAGAGCTTTCCCCACCCTGCCACTGGCAGGTTCTGGCAGGGGACCTGGACAGCTGTTATCCTTCCTCTTTCAGTTCATATGAAAGTACAAGGAGCCAGGGTGCCTCTGGAGACCTCTCATGTTCAACTCTTCAGATGCATCAGCAGGACAGAGGAAAATGAGTTTTTATTATACTTCACCCACTGTTGACCCCTCCTCCTGCTGCTCAGGTGGCTCCCTGAGTAGCTCCAGTTACTTTACCCCGATGTCCTCCATAGGGCATGTGCACAAGACCTATGTTGTTTGGGTTTAGCCTCACAGCCTTATTGCTGGAGATCTGAAGTACGTTGCTTTTTGTGAGCGTTGGTCCGATAGCCTGTGCCTGACCATCTGAACAGTGAGAGTTCGGGCCCGCTCACCATGCCTAGGAGCAACACTGCCTGTAGCCTGCCAGGTCTACCTGGCGAGTTCTCTCTTGCTGTCTGTGGGTATCACCACCATCCTCAAAGACACCAAGATCTGACTTTCAGTGAGTGCTTCCACGTAGTATGTCTGCCATAGTCTCCCCTTTTCTCCACTCTCAGCCTGACCTCACACCTGGTGTGGTTTCGTTCAGCTTTCAAGTTTGCTTTCAGTGTGGTTTCATTTGAACTGACCCCTGATTCCTGATGTACCACACTGATCTTGGGCCCCTGTTACATGCTTTTATGAAACCCATTATTTCCCTTCATAATGCTTATCACAACTGTAATTATGCAGCAATTTAAGTTATTATCTGTTTTCCTCCAGGAGACTATAATTTCCTTAGGGCAGAAATTATGTCTGCCTCACTCCCCGTCGCTGGGCCTAGTGCAAAAGGCTTACCACACACCATCCTGAAGGCAAGAAAGAGAGAACCATTATCATTATTGTATCCCTTTGCCTCCCCCAGGGAAAGAGTGGGCCATGCCTAGATATCTTTAAAAGCTTTTGTGAATCCTAGAAAGTAATTTTATAGGAACAAAATGCTATACATTAAATACCACATAAAACAAAATTGTATTAAGATAAACAAATGTTCAGGGTGTCTTTTGCTGGCAATATTTCCGTTGCTCGGTAGATCAGATGGACTCAACAACAGGACACAATCTGTGAATGAATGAATTGTGTTTTCCAACTATAATCCTTCCTTCTTTCTTTCTCTGTATTTCATCCTCCTCTGTCCATTTTCCTCCTTCCTCCCTTCTTCTCCATCTTCTTTTCAGGTATTTTAGGACAAAGGCCAATTTGTTAATTTCCAATAATGGAAAAACTAAATCAATAGCAACTTTATGGGATGGTTCTATGTACTCAACAATTTCTTTCAGAGAAAGTTGTATATGCTGACTTTCAGATGTTTTTTCGTTCACATTTGGGACCATCCTGGGCAATGTTCAGGCGTTGTGATTGACTATACATTGCAGCATTGAATTCCCTGTGGTGCACATCTGTTCTCTTCGTGGATTATGTGCACAATTGTAATGTCTAAGATACTGCTTCCTAGGACATCTGGCTTATGATAGGAAATTCAGGAGGAGACCAGTTCTGCTGCCACTGTGATCTGCTCCATGTAGTCCCGCATGATAAGATTGTCTCCGTGTGTGCTGTCACACGCTGCTCAATGTTTGCAGTTCGTCAGGCATTCTGATTGCTCTTCAAAGAAAGAAGAGTAATGACGTCTTTTTCTCTGCCTCATGCATCTTTAACTTCTAGAAAAAATACAGAAAACCATTTTTTCATGCAAAATTTTTGTCCTCAGGCAATCAGCCACCTAGAAGAATAATCAAGAAAGCCTATTCTGGTAGCAGACAATTCCCACTAGGTCTCTAAGCTAGAGTGTTCAGAGGCACATATTAAATTACTGCAACAGAACTCAAGAAAATTTTAATTACTGGAGGAATTTTAAGATATACATATCTGCATATTTGAAAAAATGTACCTGGTAGCCTTAAAATAAGGCAAATGAAGCATAACTTGGCCAGAGAAATAAAAAAAAACAAAAAATAAAAAAGAACAGGATAAAATTTTTCTTGATCATCTAGTACTGGACATTTAAGTAGTATACTAAACTTATTGAAGATAGACTCAATCGGCTTTGGTATTTTGAGAACGAGGCTCAGTGTGAAGTCTGGTCTAGTTTTCAGTTAGTAGTGTTTCCTACTCAGGCTTTCAATATTGGCACCACAGACTGGTACATTAAAGGCAATAAAGGCGTGTCCACTGTAGTTTTATCTGGATAGCTCCCTTGGTCTTCCTCAGGCATTACTTTAGGTTTTTCATGTATTCTCGTGGAAGGCACTTCTCGTATCCTTTTAAAGATGTAAATGTGACTAACCCCAAAGCCTTGAATTGATGAGGAATTTGAGGAAATCTACCTTCATTTTTTATTTTTATTTTTTTAAAAATTGCCTGAGTGTGAAGAGATGGCTTAATGCAGTGTTTCTCAACCTGTATGTCATGACCCTTTTCGGGCTAAATGACCCTTTCACAGGTGTTGTCTAAGTCTAAAGGAAAACACAGATATTTCCATTATTATTCATAACAGTATCAATATTACACTTAAGTAACAACAAAAATAATTTTATGGTTAGAGTCACTACAACATGAGGAATTGTATTAAAGAGTCACAGTGTCAGGATGATTAAGAGCCACTGGATTAGTGGTGAGAGACTTGTTGTCAAGCAGAAGACCCAGATTCTTTGGTTCCCAGCAACCATGACAGTTCACAACAATCCATAGCAGGTCCTAGCGACCTGATTTCCCTCTCTGACCTTCACAAGACACCAGGTACCCACATAGTAGACACAAATATGTGCAGGCAAAACAGTAATGCATATAAAATAATCTGAGAAAAATTTTAACCTATTAATAGAATTCTAAAGCTTGACGGAAATGATGGCAGATTCTTTTTCTTAGCACCCAGATCTCTGGGATTATTATTCCAGAAGATATTGTGCTAAATCTGAAACAAAGTTGCAGTTTCTTGACCATTGTTATGGGATCATGGGTATATGTGTGTTCTGTCCAACCCCCCCAAACTCCCCCCCTCCACACACACACACACGAGAGTGAGAGGGCACTTTCAGTCCTATGCTAAAAATCAGTAGAAAGCAGAGAGCACAGAGCAGCAGGCCTAACTTACACATGTTCTTTATAGAAGACTTAACCTGTTCTTCAGATTTCAAGCTCAAGTAATGTTTTTCTGGATGTCAGACCTGTTCCCAGTCGTGACTCCCATGCTGGCTTCACAGTCAATTAGCAACAGCAAATGTACTTAGAAATGTATGCACTAGAATTTTTTTAAAAATCTGTGATGTAGTAAAGTTATTTGTGTAATCTTCAAGGCTTAAAGTTTGAGCAGTTTTTCACTTCCTTTTGTTTCTTTGAGAAATGGCTAACATATTTTAATTTGATTTCTCTCTTCCTCAACCCCAGCATATCAATAATGACCACATTCATGGAGAAAAGAAAGAGTTTGTATGCCGCTGGCTTGATTGTTCAAGAGAGCAGAAACCGTTCAAAGCCCAGTACATGTTGGTAGTACATATGAGAAGACACACTGGGGAGAAGCCTCACAAATGTACAGTAAGTACATATCTGACAGCCTCAGTGTCCCCTCACATCCGTGAGTGTGACACTTTGCTCTATAGGTCTTTCCTGTTCTCACGGGGTTTGCATGCTATTGACTCCAGGATCTGGGGTACTGAGAAGAGAGACAGAGCACTGTTTAGAGAGTGTCTTACTGATGAGCTTTAAACAGGCCATCTCTGCAGAGTGACAAGCATGCATAAGGTAACTAGCTCCATGAGCTCGTGCCTTCTGTGCCTGTCATATTCCCACAGTTCAGCACACTGCAGGACAAACCACACAGTTGATTTATTTTTCAGTTTAATTTTTTGCGTATATGTGTGTGCGTGTAGTAGCCAAAGGATAATTTTGTAGAGCTGATTCTCTATTGCCCTTTAAGTGTGTTACAGGTATCAAACTCTTGAGGTCAAGTTTGTACAACTTGCACATTTGACCCATCTTGCAGGCCCTAAGTTGAGCATTCTTTATGAAAAACAATATTCAGCAAACTGGGCTTGAGATGTAGCTCATATCCGAGCATTTAGCTACCCTGCACAAGGCTCTGGGTGCTAACATAATGTTCCAGTTAGAAAGCCCTGTTCATTACCTTTGCAGCCACTTGTGGTCACAATACAGGTGCACTAAAACTGTTGTATAACATTATTGTTAGTGTGCATATGATGTGAAGCATAAATGAACTTGGTATGTCTTCATTATGTCGCAAATATTACTTGTATATATTCTAAAATCTAAAAAGAGCCCAAGCCGCTTTTCACGCCAAGCCTTTTGGCAAGCCCGTGGTTGTCCTGTCCCAAGGTTGTCCTGGCTCCGTGCTCCTTACTCTGTCACCACAGTGCTTGGAAGCCTCTGGAGTAGGCCAGGGGCTGCAGGGAGACTTAGTTCTCTCTGGAGTGGCTCTGAGTGCCTCACAGCCTCCGGTACTTTACATCTTAAAGGGCCTTTACAAACATGATCAAATTCCATGCCTTTGTATGGACACAAAGCCATATTAATGAACTTTGTGCTGAATCTGAAATCAGTGGGAATTGGAGGAGATCAATGAACAGATAATGAAATTCATTGTCCACATTGAGCTGTCTATTAAAAAAAATAGGAGAGGGAAAAAAAAAAGCTTTCAGGAGTTTTACAGGCACTGACCATGCTTTGTCTTCAGCTGCCCCAAGCCACATCTGAATCCCAATAAATGCAGAGTTTAGTGGGGTTTTTGTTCCCTGGTTTTTGAAAAGCTGCTGACCCTTGAAAGGTCAAGTTTTTATCCACTTGGAGAGGGGGTTGAGCACAAGCAGCCGCTGCTATTGTATAGAGTGGTCCAGATTTACCTGTTGTCCTCAGTTTGAAGGTTGCACAAAAGCCTACTCAAGACTCGAAAACCTGAAAACTCACTTGAGATCTCACACTGGAGAGAAGCCATACGTCTGTGAGCATGAGGGCTGCAACAAGGCTTTCTCTAATGCTTCAGATCGGGCCAAGCACCAAAACAGAACACATTCCAATGAGGTAAGCCTCCTCTGCTACCCAAAGCTACCAGTGAGCTTCCATGTGGCATATACCTGGCACGGTAGATGTGTTCTGTTTTATTTCCTCTGGGTTGTTCTAGCTGTGAGTGGGCTTTGAGACCCTGCAGGTCTACAGGTGAAGGTATGAGGCCTCAACGATGGACCCTGTTTAGAGAGTAATACAGATGAAGAAGAAATTCTATAAAAATCCTTGCTGAGCTTAGTTTCTTCTTGCTTGGACCTGCCACCTACTGGCTAGACAGTAGCAGGATTTAATTTAGCGTTCAGGCTGCCTGCTCTAATAGCATGGACCCACACAAGGTAGGACTTGGTACTATCTAAAGACATTCTGAATCATCACAATCGCAGGTGACAGATGGCTCACTCCTAAACACATCCAATTTTATTTGTTTTCTATGTGAGTGCAGTTTCATCACATGTGTGATATCTAAAATTATTTTCATCAAGCAAACAGCTTAAATACTTATACACGACTAAATTCCAGAGGAATTTGGAAGATATCCTTAGAAGCCCAGTGAATATTTACGTCTGTTATTTAAGATAAAATGAGCAAAGCTTCATCATAGTGGTTTGTGTTGTATTGCCATTAATTTAGATAATTGTCCCCAGACTACTGATAAGTGTAAAAATGGTTGCAGATTTGTTTTAGCTAGGCTTTATGCATATCTGACTAAAAGCATATAACTTCTTGGGAGGTATAGCTGAACTATTGGCTCCTTTGTAAACTGTCCCTTGAATAAACCAAGTCTAACAAAGCTCCCCTCATTTGGGATAGAGATGAGATAGCTAACAGCACATAGTTCAGGCCTACATAATGTATCCTCAGTTGATTTGAAACATTGTTGCAAAAGGAGAAATTTACATGTATGAGACATGAGTGGCCATTATGACCTCATCAGCTGTAGGCTAGTCTCACAACCTTGCAGTATCTAAACCAAGTGAGCCACTTTGCTCAGGAGCCATTTGGCTTTAAGCAGAGATGCAGGGAATAGTCCTGATGATAGAATAAAACAGATTAAAATGACCTTTAATGAGATCATCTGCACTGTCTAAAATGTATATTCAGATCTGATCATACTTGAAACTCAGCACTTGCAGGTCCACAGACCTAAAGAGACAGATTTCATTTTTTTGTTATAAATGTTTCTTCTGTATTTAATAGCCACCATGGCATTTGATGCTGTTGTTTTGAACATTTTAGGGAGTCTAGAATGGGCAAATCCATGGAGACAAATAGATTAGTATTTGTCAACACTGAAGGCTGATGGAATAGCAGACTGCTGATTTTGGATGCTAGAATGTTCTAGAATTATTATACCACACGAAGAATGTCCTCAGTTGTTTTTCTGTCAATCTCAATTTCAATTCATAGAGTTTGAAAATCTTTCTTGGAATTTTAATTAACATACTAATTAAATTAGCTATCTTTCATATACGTAAGTAAAAGAAGGCATTCATTCCTTTTTGTAGGTTTAGGCCAACTTCTCCTTCTGTAGAGAAATTTGGTCAGTGAGTATATTGAGACAGGGATGCACAAATACATAGATTTTCATTTTTTATGAGCATAAAACATGTACACACATGTATTTATTTTAGGTATGGTCTAGTTATTTATTTTTATTTTGGTATGGTTAAGAAATGTAAGATTATATGAGGATTAAACATCTCAGGGACCTGGAAGATGATTTGGGCAATAATGTTATTACCAGGAGGGAGCCACTTATTTAAATGGATGACCTTGATAATGACACATAATTAAGATTCACTCACGAACACACAAGTCATTTTTCTCTGTAACATGTATGAGGCTCTTTGGTTTTGAGTATGGAAGCCAGCACAGTTTTACATATACAGAAAATAGGCCTGCCCTGGAAATCTATGTTCTTGTAGTCAAGTCAGCCCATCCTAAATAAATCCTGATACTCCTGTTTATTTATTTTCTTATTTATGACTTCATTTCTTTGCTAAGCATAGAAGTTATGTGTGAAGACTTTTTGCTATGTTAGGTAGAGCCAAGAATTCAACAGGGTAGATCCAGACAGTAAATTCATTTACATAACAAAAGCTGTCATGGCATGTCTCTGTCTGTGACTTTGTCCTTGCTCCTTCAGGGCCCCTGGGCTGTATAGCAGTGACCTCTAGAATGATTCCCCATTCTAGATCATACAGTTTGTATTCCTCCTGGAGCTACCTTTATGCCCATGCTCCAGACTACTCATGAAGAGGACCTTTTCTAGGGACCTTTCATTTTTGACATCTCGTCATCACTTTTATTCTATAGAATCTCATTCTTTGTTTTCGCTACCTATCTAAAGTGCTTCCTCATAAGAAATGCTCCATTGGGCCAGGCAGTGGTGGTGCACGCCTTTAGTCCCAGCACTTGGGAGGCAGAGGCAGGCGGATTTCTGAGTTCAAAGCCAGCCTGGTCTACAGAGTGAGTTCCAGGACACCCAGGGCTATACAGAGAAACCCTGTCTCGAAAAACCAAAAAAAAAGAGAGAGAGAGAGAGAGAGAGAGAGAGAGAGAGAGAGAGAGAGAGGGAGGGAGGGAGAGAAATGCTCCATTGAGCAAATGTTTACTATGGGTCATGTGCAGTTGCAAGCATCTTATGCACCCATGAGATGGGAGTTAAGCCCAGATTTCAGTAACTGACACACCTCCCAGGATTATCCCAACCAAAAAAATGAGTTCTACAAAAAATTGTCTACATCTTTAAGATTCATACTTTATATTATAAGTGATTACATGGTCTAATTTTTTCTACCAGAAAAGAAGATTCTGCATACAAAATATAAAGGATTGCATAAAGGATTTTATACTTATTGAAGTTACACATCTTTGTGCACAGGAATCTTGCATATAGTAGCACTCATTTGCTGTTCAGTGAAAAATAAAATTTATCTGGGAATACTAGCTCAATGTTATAATCCCAGCACTTGGGAGGCTGAAGTGAGAGAATTCACAGCTAGTGTAGGCTGTAGAAAAAGAACTTATTCCTCTCTCTGATAAATTATATAGTCAGGAGAAAATGCATCAACTGCTTTCCAAAGGAACCTGAATATACAAGTCAAAATGGTAACCATCATGTCTGAAATTAAATGTCCAGGACATGAGAAGCTGACCTCTTATCATGTGTGATATTATCCTGGCATTTTATTGCTATCACAAGCTCCATGGTTGATTATGTGTTTTGTTTTAAAGCATAAACTTCCAGAACCTGTGTTCTTATGGGTTTTTGTATGTGACATTTAATGTGCATGTTCGTATGTAAGGGTACATGGTCGCAGGTGTGCTGCTGTGTGCCATTGGTCTTGAAAATGCTAGTTCTGATGAACTTCTCTGTGCTCATTGCTCATCACGTGTGAACTCATTTCCAGACTAATCTTAATATTCACATGAATGTGTTTATAGAAAGAGTAGCACTTCCTGTCCCTGTTCTGTACCCTGTCATTGTCCTCTCTCCCATTGCCCACACACCTGCATCAGGCACTCAGCTGATGGAGCAGCCTGTCCCATCGGTGCCCTTAGCAAGCACCGGGTTGATGTACAAACACCCAGAGGTAATGGCACTAACTATCAGAGCCATTCCTCTGTCCCTAATGCATGGAATCCTGTACTCTCATTTCATCATGTATATGAGGCAAATCACAGAGCTCCTGAGTAGACATAATTTGAAGTTAATGGGAATCAATTCTATCCAACTGAATCTTACATTTGAAGATAAAGTCTCTCAGGATAATGTTCGAAATCTTCACTTCTGCATTACAGAATTTCGGCATTTTAGGTTGCTCTGATACTGGCTTTAGGCTTTTAGTGAAAAAGCATCTTTTAGACATGCATTCTGCAAGACAGGGTGTTCAGCAAGGATAAGAGATACATTATTTTAATCATGCTTTTCATGATGATTTCTTATATCCTAGCTCACCTAGTACACAGAGATGGAAGTACATAATCCTCTCATGGCTTTCAGCAAGGGATCATGCTCAGAACCCCTACCCACACCAGAATCTGAGAATACATAGGTCTCTTCAATAAAATGCTGTGTGCGCTCTCTCTCTCTCTCTCTCTCTCTCTCTCTCTCTCCCCCCTCCATATATATATATATACATATACATATGTATATGTATATATATATATATACATATTCTCATACTTCGATCACATCTAATGCTATATTGTTTCGGGAATAGCAACAAGAAAAAGTATCTGCTCATGATCACAACATGTATAAGGTTTTCACACTACAGGTGTAAAGTTTTAGTGTTTTCAATCTGAAGTCAGTTGAGTTTGTGGATGTAGAGCCCTTGGGCAGGCAGATCTGACTTTACTCATACCAGCATCCCATAGCTCTAGTGTTTTGGAAGGCAAGGAAACAAAGTCACCATTCTGGCTTGTTAATTAACAAAAGGACTGGTTCTGTGAGCTATATGAATATTTTGTTATAAATGTCCCAGTGTTTATAACTGCACCAGGAGGCATGATGGATGACTCAGGGAGAAAATAAAATTAGCAGGAACTAGTTCTGCCACATGTAGAAAGTCAGAGAAATGCAGATTGAGAGTCCTAGTTTTCCATAAATGCCTCACCAGCCTTAAGGAGTATATGGAATGGGTGTGTGGATAGTCTAATGAGGCTACAACTTTAGAGACCAGAGACCTTCTGAGAATTTTTACATCTGAACCCCAAACAATTGTAAAGCTACCCAGCTATCCAAATGAACACATTTAGTTAAACAACATGAGGACAACTCTGGGCAGCTGAGTTTTATTCCTTCTTATTATAATACCTGTGTACAAATAGCATGTTTTCAAAGCAAAGAATTATTCTATCTCAGAACCAAGATAATAAATTTCTTCACACAGACCATCTCCTGTAAGATGTATAAAATTATCCTGATATCATCTTCTTGTAAGCCTCTCTCCATTATCATCATCAATAGATGGAGAGCCATGATACTTCCACTCACAGCATAAATGCTTATAACAATGTAAAGGCAATTTACACACTATTACCACTTGCAGAGCTCTCTAAATAGTACCTATTAAGCTACATTCTATGGACACTGAGCAATATCCAAATAGGCTTTCTAAGTCATTAGACCTGAGAGGTATCTGAATGTGTGGAAGTGCTTTTGAACGAAGTAGCATTGTAATGAGCAACTGCTAAGTCATAATCACTTTTCTTGCCATTCATCAACAATTCCTTTTTGTGGAATTTGCTAGAAACCGTATGTATGCAAAATCCCTGGCTGCACCAAGCGTTACACAGACCCCAGTTCTCTCCGGAAACACGTGAAGACTGTGCATGGCCCTGAGGCTCATGTTACCAAGAAGCAGCGTGGGGACTTGCATCCTCGGCCTCCACCCCCGAGAGATTCTGGCAGCCATTCACAGTCCAGGTCCCCTGGCCGGCCGACTCAGGGAGCGTTTGGTGAGCAGAAGGAGCTGAGCAACACTACCTCAAAGCGGGAAGAATGCCTCCAGGTGAAAACTGTCAAGGCTGAAAAGCCCATGGTATGTCATTCACTATCCTGTTCTCCTAGAGCTCACCAGACTCATTGAGAAAAACCCAGCTGAACATGTCAAGAGACAACGCTATCCCCCTTCATTGTATCTGGCCACTCTGATCTGAGAGTCATGAGCCCACTCATGACTACTCACTCAAGTTAATCTGCTTAGTCAATAACTTTGCTCACAGGGAGTTTCTAAGACTCTTACCTGACTTTTCAAACTGATCCATAGCTGTACCACTTGTGGCAGACAGACGTGGCTGTCAGTGTCTTCAATGTGGCTACTCTGTAGAAAATCATTCCTTGAGCCTTTCTGCAAATACGTTTTCTGTCTTCCTTGCCCTGGTGACCCCAGGATGAATAAGCTGAAGTCCTTATTCTTTGGGGGTTTACAGTTCAGTGGGATGTACAGATTGAAAAACAAATACAATTCAGTTGAGGAGGCTTAAACGTGAGTCTGTGAAAAGCCTTCTAGAGAAGGAGAATTGGCAGTGTGCTCCCAGGGCAGAGACCCTGAGGACACAGTTCAGCACTCAGACAAGGAGAGCCAAACTTCTGCGGAATGGGAGGGAGAGGAGAGGTACCAGTTGTGGTATTTGCCAGAGCCAAGGGGAAGCAGGACAAGGGCAAGATTAGTGTGTGATCATGGGCTTAACAGCTCTAGTATTAAGGATTGCAGTACAGGTCAGGGAGAGTGGAGACAGGGACAGGATCTGCATGTCACTGTAACCCCATGATACCTTCTATTGCATAAAAATGAGAATTGCCAGAATTAGTTACTTACAGCAGTTTCTCTTAAAATGACTTGGTATGTGACTATTTATAGATAAATTGGATTATAAAGATAGAACTCAAACAGTTGCAGTCTAAACCCTACATTTCCAGGTGAGAAAATTGAAGTTCCTTGAGGTGAATTACGGGACCTCGTTTCCCCAACAGATGCTGTGTGCTCATACGCATTAAATGCCAGATACCTTCACACTGATTAATGAACATTGCATTTCTAATATAATTTCTTTTAAAACATGTCTTTAATTTGATCATCATGCTATAAATTAAATTCTTTCTTCCTTTTTCTTATCAATGCAACACCTCTTCTGTCTATTGCTCCCAAACGTCTTGTTCTCACTTCCTAAGGACAGTGGGTAATAAGGTGAGGGAATTTTAGCTTCTCTATTCTTTTTTGTTTTCATTTTAACATGCAAGTTTTCTTCCCATTTCATCTCCCTTTGGTTTCTGTGGCGTTGTAATAATATCCTTGGTGAGCAGTCCTCAGGTCTGTGCCTTGAACATAGCATGTGAAAGCTGTGAAGTTGGATGACGGCTCGTTGTTACTTTTGCCTGTGACTTCATACTAAATCACACTGGGCCAACCAAGCAGTTGTTCTCAGAGTCTATCTTGACTAGCATAAATTCAAGTGTTCTTTGAAGACCTATATGAATTTGTTAGCAACTTAACCCCCATTCAATTGAGTGCATATAAATAGTTTTCTGATTGTAAGTGCCTGTGCCTGCTTACCTGTTCTGTGGCATGTATGTGAGTGAAAAGTCCTATACACAGATCTGTGTACATATATATTTTGATTATTATGTTGAAGAATGAAAGTTACTCAATGCTTTAAAAACACCTCTGGAAGTGATGATATCGCAATACTTTGCTGAAACAAAATAATTAAGAATTTACATACTCATGATCAGATTTACAGATTTTCCTTAGCTCTGCTTGGTTGCCCAGGTTGAAGTTACTGTACCATGTGGCACTTGCTGAGAAAGTATGCATTTGCTTGGATTCATATGATGTGAAAGTAAATAAAGCTAGAAGGTTCCCCGAGAGAGTTACCTCTACAATTACTTTCTCAGCAGCATTGTTCATCACACCTGAGAATCACTGAGTGAGTCTTGCTGTTAGTGGCTCCAGTTTTTATAGGAACCCTGGAGAAGGTACTGCAGCGGCTCAGATTAGCCATCTTAGTGGTCTATATATTGTGACTTTCAGTGGCCAGTGAACTTTTCTGAACACAACTTTTGTTCTTAAAAAGATGAGACTTCATCAGTAGGTACCCTTGCAGTTTTAGATAGACCAACCAGTTGTGCAGTGTGAGAACTACCCTGTGTGCTATAGGTCCGTTCACTTGGTGCTTGCCAGACCCTGAGATGGCCAGACCTTCCACCTACTATTCCATAAGGCCTGGCATAGACGAAAGTTAGTACTCTCTTTGATTGAGACTACTCAGTAGGATTAAGTTTTCATTAGAGAGGCACACACCCGAGGAACTGTAAAATTATTCTACAAATTCAGGCCTACTATCCACTGCAGCCTGTCTTCCCTCCTGAGTGTGATAGAAGCAAAAGGATTGATGTTTTTCCAGTTACAGCTGCCTTGATTCAGACCCTAGTTAAGGGTCTATAGCACTAGCAAAATGAGGCAGGGAGGAAAACAGAATAATTTGAAAACCAGGTCTGAATAGCCTAGAGGAATCTTTGTTGGAAGGAGATACAGTATTTTATGTACCATCTCCTCTGTATATGCTGTAGTTCAGCAAAATGAACCCCAGTTGGAACAACAATGAATACCAAAACTTGTAACCTCCTCTTTAACTTTGCCAGATCTTTATACTTAGGCACTCTCTGGGATGTATATTAATTTCCAGTATCAATTGATCCATTAAGAATTGATCCCATTATATACCTAAAGATTCTGTTGTAGTGAATGGTTAAGAAATTTGCCCAAAAATACTGTCCTGGAGATAGAATTGAAAATGAGGAAGTGTGTCTGTAGAGTTGGCATTTGAAACAGGGTCTCATGGCTGATAGCTCTGATCACACCACATCTAGTACCCTCTACCATCCATCACCTCCCCTTGTATATCAGCTTGGGTGGTGGGCCATTCTCATTTGGCCCAAACATCCACCAACACATAGTTTTTCTTCTCATTTAACTGGCTGGTAACCTGAATGTTTTGGCTTGCATGAGCTGTCATTTTAGGTTCCTCTCCTTTTCCCGTTCTGATGTCATTTCATTCCTTTCTCCTTGACCCCGATAGACATCTCAGCCAAGCCCTGGTGGTCAGTCTTCATGCAGCAGCCAACAGTCCCCCATCAGCAACTATCCCAACAGTGGGCTCGAGCTTCCTCTGACTGATGGAGGTAGTGTAGCAGACCTCAGTGCCATCGATGAAACCCCAATCATGGACTCGACCATTTCCACGGCAACCACAGCCCTTGCTTTGCAAGCCAGGAGAAACCCGGCAGGGACCAAATGGATGGAGCACATCAAACTTGAAAGGCTAAAACAAGTGAATGGAATGTTTCCAAGACTAAACCCTATTCTACCCTCCAAAGCCCCTGCGGTATCTCCTCTCATAGGAAATGGTAAGTCCCGTGCTAGACCATGTGTCTGCTCTGGCTAGTAGTTTTCCTTTCAGTGTGGCCAGAACACACCCAGCAGACCTGGAACCCTTGGTTTTATATTTGTTAGTTTCCCCCACAGATCCTAAACTGAGGCTAGGACATAACCTGTGTTGATGTTGAACCATCTACACTGCTTTTCTAGATGGTCCATATTTTGAAAATAGTAGCAGAATAATACTGGAACAAAAAATTAAAATGTGAAGACCTCAGATTTTGGTGAAGAAATTGTAACTGCTTGTTCAAGTGGGGCAAGAAAAATCTCCACAATAGATGTATTTGTGGTTAGTGCCTCAACTCTAGTCTCCAAAGACATAAAACCAAGAAAATTCTGTTTGCCTAGTTCAAGGAACTATAAATGCTTGTCAGCACCTGATTTAAGGCATCTGTCTGTCTGTCTGTCTGTCTGTCTCTCTCCCTTCCCTCTGTGGCGTCCCTCCAGGCACACAGTCCAATACCAGCTATAGTTCGGGTGGACCCGGGACCCTCCTCCCGAGCAGAAGTGACCTGTCAGGTGTAGACTTCACTGTGCTGAACACACTCAACAGGAGAGACAGCAACACCAGCTCTATCAGCTCTGCCTACCTGAGCAGCCGCAGATCCTCGGGCATCTCCCCCTGCTTTTCCAGCCGCAGGTCCAGCGAGGCGTCACAGGCTGAAGGGCGACCCCAGAACGTGAGTGTGGCCGACTCTTACGATCCCATCTCCACAGATGCTTCAAGGAGGTCCAGTGAGGCCAGCCAGAGTGATGGGCTGCCCAGTCTTCTCAGCCTCACACCCGTCCAGCAGTACCGCCTTAAGGCCAAGTATGCTGCTGCCACTGGTGGCCCACCACCCACACCTCTGCCCCACATGGAAAGACTGAGCCTGAAGACCAGGATGGCCTTGCTAGGGGAGGGGAGGGACTCAGGGGTTACCCTGCCTCCAGTCCATCCTCCTCGGAGATGCAGTGATGGGGGAGGCCACACATATAGCAGGCGTCACCTGCTGCCTCATGATGCGCTAGCGAACAGTGTGAGGAGAGCCAGCGACCCTGTGAGGACAGTCTCGGAGAACATGTCCCTTCCCAGGGTGCAACGCTTCAGCAGCCTCAATAGCTTTAATCCTTCAAATTTGCCTCCATCAGTGGAAAAGCGTAGCTTAGTGCTGCAAAACTATACCCGGCAGGAGAGCAGCCAACCCAGGTACTTCCAAGCATCCCCTTGCCCTCCCAGCATCACAGAGAATGTTGCCCTGGAGGCTCTGACCATGGATGCTGATGCTAACTTGAATGATGAAGATTTCCTGCCAGATGATGTGGTACAGTATTTAAATTCCCAGAACCAAACAGGGTATGGGCAGCAATTGCAGAATGCCATCTCTGAAGACAGTAAAGTTGCCCGTGAGCCAGAGGACTTGGACTTACCGGGGCTGCCAGACAGTCATGTTGGCCAGCAGTACTCAGCTCTGGAGCAGCCCTGCTCTGAGGGCAGTAAAACTGATTTGCCCATCCAGTGGAATGAGGTCAGTTCTGGAAGCTCTGATCTGTCATCCTCCAAGCTGAAATGTGGTCAGCGCCCTAGCGTACAGCAGGCTCGAAGCTTTGGGTTATACAACAATATGGTGGTACACCCACAGAATCTGTGGAAGGTTGGCACTGGTCCAGCTGGGGGATACCAGACTCTGGGGGAGAACGGCAGTACCTACAGTGGCCCAGAGCACTTTGCAGTTCACAGTGGGGATGGACTTGGCCCCAATGAAAATACTTTCCATGAACAGCCCTATAAGACCCAGCAGTATGGGAGTCAGCTCAACAGGCAGCCACTAACTTCCAGTGCTCTAGACAATGCCTGTGGTGCTGGGATTCAAGGGTCCAAGCTGAAAGGCAACAGCTTGCAAGAGAGTGGGGGTTTGCTAGATTTTGGCCTGTCCATGGCACCAAATGAGTTAGCTGGCAACATGGTGAATGGCATACAAACCCAAGATCAAATGGGACAGGGATACAGTGCTCATCAGCTGCTCAGTGGCAGCATGCAACACCAGGGGCCCAGCCGCCCTGGTCAACAGGTACTAGGACAGGTTAGTGCTACCTCACATATCAACATCTATCAAGGGACAGAGAGCTGCCTACCAGGGACTCAGGACAACAGAGGCCAGCCATCAAGTATAGCAGTTATCAGGGGCTACCAGCCCTGTGCCAGCTATGGGGGTAGCAGGCGTCAGACAATGCCAAGGGGCAGCCTCACTCTGCAACAAGGACAGCTCAGTGACATGAGTCAGACCAGCAGGGTGAACAGCATCAAAATGGAGGCACAAGGGCAATCCCAGCAGCCCTGCTCTAATGTGCAGAATTATTCCGGTCAGTTCTATGACCAAACCCTGGGCTTCAGTCAGCAAGACAGGAAAGCTGGCTCATTTTCCCTCTCAGATGCCAACTGCCTGCTCCAGGGGAATGACACTGAAAACTCTGAGTTACTTTCCCCAGGTGCTAACCAGGTGACAAGCACAGTTGACAGCTTTGAGAGTCATGACCTAGAAGGCGTGCAGATTGATTTTGATGCCATCATAGATGATGGGGACCATACCAGCCTAATGTCAGGGGCCTTGAGCCCAAGTATCATTCAGAACCTTTCCCACAGCTCCTCCCGTCTCACCACACCACGGGCATCCCTCCCATTCCCACCCCTGTCCGTGAGCACCACCAACATGGCTATTGGGGATATGAGTTCTTTGCTGACCTCCCTTGCAGAAGAAAGCAAGTTCCTTGCAGTTATGCAGTAGGTGGTAGACAAGGAGGACCACAAATAGGAAAACATTAGGACTTGAAAGACTGAAATGACTCTTTGATTTTTTTTTTGTTTTGATTTGGTTTGGTTTTTTTCTTTTCTTTTTTAAGTTCTGTATGTATTTTAGCAATCTCATCTCACCTGACTGGGATGTGTCTCAAGTATATTCCTTTTATGGAAAAGGACTCTAAAAAACCCTAAGGTATTCTAGGGGAGAAACTGTCTTCCATTTCAGTTTGAATCAGTATTGTGACATTCAAATCACCCTTGTTTTTTTAACCTGTAAGCCTGCCCTCTTTTGAGTGAACCAGTGTAAATGTATAATGTGCATGTTCTTTCTTTTAGAAGAGAAGTCATCAAATTAAAAGATTTGGCCTGCTTCTCTGCTATCCCAGGAACTAGGAATTCGTGTGCTTGTGACCAAGAGGTTACAAGTTCATCTTTTTAAAGTTTTTCTTTACAGTACTCAGTGACTTGCTTTTATGTGTGTATGTACATTTTTAATTCCTACACTGAGTACAAGAATTGAATGACTAGTGAGTTTGAAGATTATTTGTGGGTACACTATAGTTAGTATAAATAGCAGGTTTTTATGTGTCCTCCACCTTGATTCAATTCAGGGCATACTTTTAACAACTGCACAAAAGTGGGAATGTGGAGATCCTGGAAATGAAGTAGTTTGATCAGGGTTTTTATAGGGGGTAAATCTTCTGTAAGTATGCATCCCGTGGGTATGTCTATATGGTCAGTTCTCGGTTAGGTGAATGTATTTCCTTTCACCTTTATGAACATTCAGTGTTATTTAGCACTGCAGTGAGAGTGGACAGGCAGTTGATGTTCAGCTGTGTCACACTTTTAGCTTTTGGTACGAAGTTAGATCAATTATAGATTGAAACAATTGGATAGAATTACTTTGAGAACTGTTTTTTGGACTTGCTCTAATTATTCATTGGTCTCACCTCTTTCCTCATCATCATAGGTAACTGAGAATTGACTATATGACTATATGTAGTTCTTAGTAGGTATTTAAACAACCCACAACTGGATACATCACTACCATTTATTAAATTCACTACAGCGAGAGAGTATGTCCTTTCTAAGTGCCCCATTACAAAGGAAAAATGTGTAAAACTTAGTTGTAAAAGGCAAAACTCACATACATTGACATCAGAAGTAAATTGTTTTAATCATTTTTATCATTAGAGAGCATGAAAGACGATATTTTGTAGCCATGTGAATTTCAAATACCATTAGTCTTAACATTGGACTAGTACTTTTCTTCTGTATTCAGATTTTAAAGATTTACACAGTGCAGCTGCTCTTCACATGCAGATCACACATGAGTCATACTATGTGTACACAGAATACTTGGATAATCTAGCATATTACTTTAAAACTGTAAACAAAGTAAAATGTTTACCCATCAGCCCCAACATTGGATTTCCCCCAGGTGATTCTTAACAGGGTTTTATGACTGCTTTTAAATCCTGTCTGTAAAATTAGGAATAGAAGGTGAAAACCCAGTAGGTGTTAGGTAATAGGAAGAATGTTATGACCAGGCAATTTTGCTCATGCCTAGTTTCTCTTTTTTGGAGCCCGGATTTCAACAGGGAAGAAACTTTGCCATGTAGGGTGGCTTTGTGGCTAAGCTAGCCAGTTTGCTTTCTGATAGATCTCCCCAGGACCAGTAAAACAGTCTATAAGTTCTCCATGCTCTGCAGTCTTCTCCCAGAGGTTCCTTATAAATCAGAGGACAGTCCACAGGCAGAAGGGAACCACTGCTCTGAGTTCAGGAGAGCAAATAAAGCAAGGCTTCTTTTTGCCTCAAACAGGTCACCTCATCACAAAATGAGTGATGGAATCCCTGAATTTCAGTTGTCAAAAGTCTTTTTTGTTTTGCAGTCTCTGGTCTGAGTCAGACCTGGCATGCCTTATTATTTGGCCAAATCTCTTTATTACTTTTGGTTTCAAAGAAGGAGTTCAGGATTCTCCTTCCTCAGCAAGAGGAGTGAGCTTGGTTCCTGGTCATATTCATTGCCTCCTGCAGCAGAGAGCTTTCTAGATGGAGGCTTTGCCTGTGACCTTGAAGTTCTCAAGTGCAGTGACTTTCCATGATGGCAGTCCCTCCTAGGAGATGGGCAGTGCACAGAGCCAGCACCCTGCCTCCTTACCTTCTGCGTTTGACTTTTTCATTGTTTTCTTTAATTGTTTATTTTCATTCATTCTTATTTTCCAAACTGTTGCCTTTAGTTTTGTGGAATTGAGGTTTCCACTCAATATCTAACCTTTCTTAATATGAAGATTTCAGGATACAGGTAAAGAAAGAAAATGGAAGGTGAAAAGTGTTCTGTCCCAAGATTTCATCGATCTGTCATAGTGCAGTTCAAGAAAGATCGTTTGGTCACTAAAGCTATCCCATGGGACATGTGATCTCTTTAGGCTTGGTGTTTCCTGTCAAAAACCCACTCACAGTCAGCAGCCTCTTGCCATTCCTTGACTTTTGTATTTAGGAGAAACAGCTTGACTCTCGTGTCACACACAGCTGCTTTTTAATGAAAGTACAGGCTCATACATGGCACTCTTGTTTAATGTCTGTGTTAAATGGGTTTTTTTCATAACTTTTTCTAAAGAATTAAGTAACTCACTTCCCTGCTCCTCATATGTTGGCTTGTCCTGAGCCACAGGTTTTGATTCTTGCAATGTATGTGCCTTATTTTATGTTTCTCTTGTCAATGAGAAGGACCAGTTGTTGTTGTTGTCCAGTCAGCACTCAGAGGCTGCATGCCCAGACAGTGTTACCAGGAATCGAACACAGGACTGTGGCAGTCTGCAGTGTTGGGTGACCTGATTTCCTGTGTTGTTTGAAGCTAATAGGAGGGTGTTCTCCGCTGACAAGTTACCCTTGTATATCCTGCAAATGTGTAAGATAAACTGTGTTCCTTTTCTCCACCACTTTTTAGATTTTTTAAAGAAGAAAATGTGTACTCCTTTTTAAAGAACAACACATGTAAATACATTCAAGTATTGTAGATGTAGAGTTGGGCTGTGATGGCCTTGGGCCTTCCTTGGAAAAGCCTGTGGCTGCTCAGTGCTCATAGGCCGTGGGAATGGCAGCCCAGACATAGGAACTCTGCCTTGGCTTTCAGAACCACTTAGTCCTTTTGTAACAAAGAAAAAATAAATAAATAATAAAAATGTTTCTTACAGTGTCAATAAAAAAACTTTGTACTGAAATATTTTACTGGTTTCTTTTTTTTTTTTTAGTTTAATTTCTATTTTTTAAAAAGGACACTTTCTCAAGAAAACCCCCCAGGCTATAGTTGACTCTATAGTGAGTCCATGGAAGGGAGACCTCTGATGATAATGTGGAACGCACTATTACAAACCAGCATGAAAAGCAAAGGAGACAAAGACATTTTTGAATGGAGGTAGTCATTAAAAGCCATGTTAAAGTAAGCCTCCATGGGTCTGAAGAGATGGCTCAGTGGTTACAGGCAAAAGCTATTCCAGATAATTGTGGTTTAATGCTGAACACCCACTTGGTAGCTTATAAAGGCATGCAACTCTAGTTCTAGGGTTATATTAGAGTTATATTTGAGTTAGAGAGAGAGAGAGAAAGAGAGAGAGAGAGAGAAAGAGAGAGAGAGAGAGAGAGAGAGAGAGAGAGAGAGAGAGAGAGAGAGAGAGATCATAGAAGTAACACACACTCTCACACACATGCACACACACACACAATTTATTAGAATGGCTTACAAGCTATGGTCCAGCTAATCCAATTATGGCTACCTATTAACAGAAGGTTCAGGAATCAAGTAATTGTTTAATCCATGGTCTTCAGTATTTTCTGAAACCCCAAAGAAGTAAGTTTTAATGGCAGTGAAGAAATGTACTTGCTGACAATAGCAAACAAGCAAAGAGATTATTTCCTTCCTCCACCAAAGTATGGTCCAAGTTAAAGATGGATCTTCCCACCTCAAAAATCTGGCTTAAAGTTTACCTTCCTACCTCAAAGACCCAGATTAGAAGTGGGTCTTCTCATATAAGATGATTTAATTTTAAAAAAAATCCCTCATGGGTATGCCCAGTCATTTGGATTTTTATTAATTCCAGATGTAGTAAAATTGACAACTAAGAATAGTAGCCATCACACAAGATAAATTTACTGCATTTATTCACTGGATCGAGATGAAAATACTGGCAAATTAATTGGTGGTGTAAGATATGTACCTACCATACACAGGGCTGTACAGAGCATGATAATAGTCCCTATGTTTCTTATTTTTACTGCTTTGTCCATCTCTGAGGAAGGGTGATAACAGGGTTTAAAATCTGACAACTTGTCTTCTTTTTATATACTCTTCTTTTATCTAGAGATACACTAACACACAAATGAAAATCTGGCAATATTGAGACTTTTCCCTCATGCTTTTTAAAAATTTCCATTTTATTCTATGTGTATGAGTGTTTTGTCTGTATAAATGCCTATAGACCATGTGCACATCTGGTTCCCATGGAGCCAGAAGAGCAAGTGGATCAGAGCTTCTGGAACTAGAATTGCATGTAGCCATGAGCCACCATGGGGTACTGAGAGTCAAACTCTAGTTCTCTGGAACAGCCAGTGCCATTAACCACTGAACCATCTCTCCAGCCCCATGGAGGCTTCCATGGCTGTCAATGACTAGCTCCATTCAGAAATCTCTTTGTCTCCTTTGCATTTTCACACTGGTTTGCAGTAGTGCTCTCCACATTACCACCTAAGGTCTCCTCTTCACTTTGTAAGTATTCGTGCATCTTATAAGCCATTAATTTAGCACTGTTGCTGGGAAACAAGGGTGCTGACTGAGTATCCCATGCCACAGCATCAGAGCATCCTCTGTAAATACAGGCACACGTGAACTTAATCATGCCCTCTTGATTCCCAAGGGGAAATTCCATTGCCCCAAAATGCTTTGATCTCTCACAAAAGGTATCCAAATAAATTTGGAGAAAAAAATAAGAATTTATACTCTGTATAGGTATAAATTAATCAGCTCACAAAAATGTGTATCATTCA